CTCAAACTCCTGGGCTCATGCGGTCTGCCCACCTTGGCCTCCCAAAGTTCTGGGATTACAGGCGGGAACCACATCAGCTTTCATTTTCCATTCACATGATCTCATTTGAATTTCACAGCTATGTTAAACAAGCCCATTTTACAAATGAGTGAGATTCAAGAGGACCCAACCTGGCCAGTAAACCAACGACAGAGCCTCTGACATCTGTGAGTTTTCCACATCTGAATGTACCTTATTATTTCTTAGTTGATACATAAATCATCTTTAACGAAAAAGAAGCCAGGGCCACTTCTCCAGGGCTGGGGTCCCAGGAGGGTGTGGAAGAGAGGAGAGGGGGCGAGACCCACCTCGGGCTCCCACAGAGGACACGCTGCTTCGGTGGGACCGCTCAGCGGGGCCGGGCTGCCCAGCACTGCCTTCCGTCCCGTCCATCTGCAAAGGCAAAGAGAAACCAGCAGTTACCTGGAGCCAGGGAAGGGGGGTTGGAGGTCTCCTCAAGATCTCATTGAGGAGGGGAAGGGGTCCCCGAGCTGGGTCTGCAAGGTTGAGCAGCGCTGCCTGAAGGGGCCAGGAGTGCAGCCCTGGCGCTGGTCGGCGGGGTGCGGGCTGCGACGGTCAAGAACGGAGGTGGACTGGGATGCCCAGACAGGGCAAGGCGCACCCCCAGCCGGGGGCGGAGGCCCGGACCAGACATCGCCGCGCTCTCACCTCGCAGAAACGCAGAGCCCGCCACCTGAGAGGCCAGGTTCCTGCTTGGACTCCGGCCCTGAAGCCGAGCCCGCCACCGCCCGCACTCGGGATAACGCCAAGGACCCAGCTGCCGGGGAAGCGACGCGGAAGCCGCGGCCGGAGGAAGCGCGGCGCGTAAGGCCCCGCCCCTCCGGGCCGCGGGAGCCAATGGGAGCCCAGGGCCGCCTGGCGCATGCCCGGACCTCGGCCTCGCGTGTCGCGTCGCGCCCGTGGAGTGGCCGCGTCACGAGCCAGCCCTGCTACCACCGGAGTGACCCAGGGCTAGTTTCCCCTCACAAAGGCCCCGACTGTTGGCCTGTAAGAGGGTTTGGCGAAAATTCGAGAAAATCAAGGCTAGGGGCGTTGGCATGCCCACGCGTGGGACTTCGGGCTAGTTCCCTATCTGTGAAATGGACACGTGCCAGGGATCCATGCGGCGCTGACAGCGACCTGTACTGTAGCGCCCTCCTGGCTGTGGTCAGGAGACTGGGTCCTGGCCCGAACTAATTCTGGACAGTCCCTGCTCTGGGCCTCAGTTTCCTCATCTGTAAAATGAGGAGGTTGAACTCTGTGACCCCCCAAGGACTATCCCCACTCTCAAATGATTATTGATATACGTCTGTGTCAGAAAGCCAGGACAGACACTCTGTTTTTCCAGGGAGCAGTCACATGAGCCCTTGCTATCTTACACAACAGCCTGGGAGACCTTGAGGTGTTCCCAGGCTGGGAGGAGACTTGGGGCCCCAGAGAGGCAGGTGTGAAACCAACTCCCCTCAGGGCCATGTCACCAACACGTCCTGGTAATGCAACATGTGTGCATCTGAGATGTGGAACTCAGGAAGAAAAATAAGTCCATGGGGCACCTTCTGTGGCCAGAAGAACCAGAATTTGTCCCAAGTGACAGCAGTGAGCTTGGTGATCAGGAATAGAGGGCATGGGGTTCACTTTGTCCTGGTTCCCTGTGATTGGAAAGCAGCTCCAGCTCCTGGCCCAGCCCAACCTTCTTCGGTATGTGAACCAACTCTGCCTGTCCCCCTATGAGCTGCACTGCCCCACAGCTGAGCCCATGACATCACATCTGCCTTGCTGACGTGACCTAAGGACTTGAGGAAGCTCAGATGTGGGCTGCAGGGGAAGGGTGTCCAGTGGGGGCAGGCATCTCATTCCTGGTTCTCAGCCCTGGGACCCTCAGACCGGGACACACTACGTCCATGGCCTCTCAACCCAGCTGAAGTGAAGCGGGAACAGAGGAGTTCAGTGTTGTTTTGAATGCTTGCTGGATGTGGGGCCTGTGCTAGGTCAGGGGATGCAGACTGAGGTGAGACATGGCCCTGCCCTCAGGAAGTGTCTGTTATGGTTTAATTGGGGAGTGGAGGAAGAGGGGAGAGAGAAAGAAGCCCAGGAGAACAGCACATGTAAAACCACAGCACTTTGGGAGGCTGAGGCCGGAGGATCGCCTGAGGCCAGGAGTTCAAGACCACTCTGGGTAATATACTGAGACCACATCTGTTAAAAACCCAAAAATTAGCTGGGTGTGGTGGCAGACATCTGTGGTCCCAGCCATTCAGGAGGCTGAGGTGGGAGGATGGCTGGAGCCCAGGAGTTCGAGATCACGATGAGCTCTGATAGCACCATCCTGCCACTGTACTCCAGCCTGGGTGACAGCGAGACTCAGTCTCCAAAATAGTGAAAAATAAATCACAGAAGATGACAGCATTGCTTTAAGAACTATGAAATGCCCCGCCCGGCCTGGTGGCTCACACCTGTAATCCAAGCACTTTGGAGGCCAAGGCTGGCAGATCACCTGAGGTTGGGAGTTCAAGACCAGCCTGACCAACATGGTGAAACCCCATCTTTTTTTTTTTTTAAAGAACTATGAAATGCTACATGCAGGAAAAGGAGGGTCCTCAGTCCCTGCTCCCCTGCTGTGTGTGTGACACTGGGCCATGCCCTTTCCGTGTCATTCTCATGCGTCCTCAGAATGGAAATAAGTATTAGCAGTTGCTATTTACGTGCCAGCTACTTTTTAAAGTGCTCGAATCCTTATAACTCACTAAGAAGTGAGTATCATATCTCTTTTATGAACGAGAAAACAGGACTGGAAATATTAAATGATAAGACTGATGCCTGGCAGTCTGCGTGGTGTTGGTGAGGAGGCTAGAACGTGGGGCTAGCTGAGGACGGGCACTGGGAGAGAGTCCAGGAGGATGGTGGGGAAGGAAAGGCATTCCAGGTGGTGGGAGCTGCATGAGCATAGTTAGGACCCCAGGAAAGACCCCTGCTGTACCAGAGCACAGCAGGTGGGTGGCACCCTGGGGGAGGTCTTGAACCCCAGGATGACAGATATGGGGCAAGTGTGTCAGACAGTAAGAACATATTGGAAGGGAGCCACAGTGGCTCAGGCCAGTTGTCCTGGCACTTGAGGAGGCGAGGCTACACGGCCAACCTGGGCAACATAAGAACCTCTCATTCATTTAAAAATTAAAAATTAAAAAAAAACATATTGGAGGTTGTGATCTTGAGATTGACAAGATGATGCTATGTGTGGGTGGGCTTCCCTACAGAAAGACCCTTGGGAAGTGGAAATGAGGGTCTTTCTTGAACTAGGGGGAAACAGTGAGATTGGAAAAGAGAATGAGGCCCATTCTGAAGTGAGCGAGGAGGAGGCCTCCCGCCTTTAGCGCCTAGAGGCCTAGACAGCAATTAGCCCGGCTGCTGTCCTACTTTGGCAAACAATAATAGACCCTACGGCCCACAGAAGGGGTTTCTTGACGTCACTCAGGGAGATAATATAACTGCCCATTGGGTTCACCTCACCCTCTGCCTAGACAGAGCCAGTTTCTCAAGACAAGGGAATTGCAATAAGGAGAGTTTAATTTATGCAGAGCTGGCTGTAGGAGAGACAGAAGTTTTATTATTACTCAAATCGGTCTCCCTGAGAATTCCAGGATCAGAGCTGTCAAGGATAACTGGGTGGGTAGGGGACCAGTGAGTTGGGAGTGCCGATTGGTTGGGTCTCGGGTGAAATCACAGGGAATTAAAGCTGTCCTCCCGTGCTGACTCAGGTCCTGGGTGGGGGCCACAAGACCAGATGAGCCAGTTTATGGATCTGAGTGGTGCCAGCTGATCCATCCAGTGCAGGGTCTGCAAAATATCTCAAGAACTGATCTTAGGTTTTCCAATAGTGATGTTATCCCTAGGAGCAATCGGGGAGGTTCAGAATCTTGCGGTCTCCAGTGCATGACTCCTAAACCATAATTTCTAATCTTGTGGCTAATGTTACGCCTACAAAGGCAGTCTAGTCCCCAGGCAGGAACAGAATTGGTTTTGGGAAAGGGCTGTTACCATCTTTGTTTCCGAGCAAACTATAAACTGAGTTCCTCCCGAAGTTAGTTCAGCCTATGGCGGGAGCGAACAAGGACGGCTTGCAGGTTAGAAGCAGGTCGGATTCAGTCAGGTCAGATCTCTTTCACTGTAATCATTGTATCACTTATAGTTTTTTGTTTGTTTGTTTGTTTGCTTGTTTTTTCCTGAGAGATTCTCACTCTGTGGCCCAGGCTGGAGTGCAGTGGTGCGATCTTGACTCACTGCCACCTCCGCCTCCTGGGTTCAGGTGATTCTTCTGCCTCAGCCTCCCAAGTAGCTGGGACTACAGGCACCCACCACCACGCCTGGTTAATTTTTGTATTTTTGGTAGAGACGGGGTTTCACTATGTTGGTCAGACTCGTCTCAAACTCCTGACCTCAGGTAATCTGTCCGCCTCTGCCTCCCAAAGTGCTGGGATTACAGAAATGAGCCACCTCTCCCGGCTGTATCAGTTACAGTTTTTGCAAAGGTGGTTTCAGGAACAGGAAGCAGAACCAGGACTGCAGCCCAAGCCATCATGAAAGCCAGTCTTTGGGGTTGGTCTTTTAGGGTGATCTTTGGGGGATGGCCCAAGGAGCCCCAGGCAGCTCTAGAGGCAGGAGGTGGGAGATGAGGTCCTGTCTCCAGAACCTATCTGCCCAAGACTAAGTAGCAGAGGTGACTGGGTCCTGCCTTGGCCACAGTGAGAGGAGAAGCGTGAGCAGGACCGGGCCTGGGCCATCTCCCACAGGAGACTAGGAGCTGCAGGGAGATCTGGAGGGGAGCGTGTAGGTGTCACTGGGCCTTTCTGTTCTCCAGGGCCCTTTGGCGATGGGAAGAGGGAACTGGAGCCCCAGGGCTGCCGCTGATGCTTCTCGCTGACATTTCTGTTTGTTCAATCACTCATGATTTACTGAGAGCCCACCCTGTGCCACTCACTGTGAACAGAACACCCAGAGAGCCCTGCCCAGACAGACAAGTTCCTCCCATCACGTGCTGGGGTGATAAGTGTGATGGATAAAGAGAGGAAGAGCCAGCAGTGCCTCTGGCTGGAGAGGCCAAGCGGACCTCACTAAGGTCGTGACATTTGAACACCAGCTGAAGGGGTGTGAGGGCGAGAGTGTCCAGGAAGAGGGAGGAGCCAGTCCACAGGCCTGGAGGCAGAAGGCTGATTGAAGAAGAGTCCAGAGGCTCGGGTGGCTGCAGCAGAGAGAGAAGAGGGTGAGTGGCAGGACGTGAGGTCAGAGGAGAAGAGGCGGCACCCGTGGCTCACAGAGCCTCAAAAGGATTTTGGTTTTGACTCTGAGCAGAACGGGGCCATTGCAGAGCAACACGCACTTTAAATAAGCAAAACCCCCATCTTTCCCCTGGGAAGGAAGAGGCCGAGGGAGGCTGTGTTTCTGACTCACACAGGGGAGTGGTAAACAACCCTGGAGAGAACAGCTGGGCCTGGTGAGTCACTCACTCCTGGGAGTGGCTCCTCCCCACCCTGCCGGGCAGCCTGCGGGCTGGGCCTACCTCCTTGTGGCCACACTCCCTCCCTCCGCACCAGGCCTCTCTCTGTGGAGTGTGGGTGGCCACGCACCTCGGTGGAGATAGATGGGAGTGGGGCTGGGCTGGCTGGGCAGGCAGGGGTTTTGCTTCTTGCTAAGGCAGCCCTGGAGGGACCCAGTTGCCATCCCCAGAGCCAGGATCATTGGCCGGGCTGGGGGATCAGGGCCCCCCGTGGTCCCAGCACGCCTGGCCTATGAGACTGTACTCTGCATGACTCCTCCAGGTGGCCAGGGTCACCAGAGCTGGCTCGCTCCCCTCTGCCAGTTGCCCGAGGTCTGGGCACCAGGTTACTTTTCACCCTCCCACCAGGGTTAAACATTAGTGAGAGGTTATCAGCGTGGGCCGGGGAGGGAGAGGTGGGAATTCACCTCTGTCTCCTCTGCTGGAGCCGCCAGTCCCCGCAAGCCCAGACAATGCCCGTGGAGGAGTTTGTGGCTGGCTGGATCTCTGGTGAGACATTTTTCTTCCTTCTGTCACATTGCACCCAATGGTAGGTCACTCCCTGGGGAAGAGGGGTGACATAGGAGAAGCTGAAACCAAATTCTGAGTTCCAGCCTGGAGGGAGGATCACTTGAGCCCAGGAGTTTGAGACCAGTCTGGGCAACATAGGGAGGCTCCGTCTGTACAAAAAATAAATAAATTAGCTGGGTGTGGTGACACACACCTGTAGTTCCAGCTACTCAGGAGAATTGCTTCAACTCAGGAGTTCAAGGCTGCAGTGAGCTGTGCCCATACCACTGCACTCCAGCCTGGGTGAGACCCTGACACACACACACAGACACACACACACAGACACACACACACACACAGACACAGACACAGACACACACAGACAAACACACACAGACACACACACACAGAGACACACACACAGAGACACACACACACACACACCGGGGCAGGCCATGGTGATGCACACCTGTAATCCCAGCACTTTGGGAGGTTGAGGAGGAGGATCACTTGGGGCCAGGAGTTTGAGATCCGCCTAGGCAACATACGGAGACCCTGTCTCTATAAGAAATAAGAAAAAAATTAGCCAGGCTTGGTGGCACATGCCTGTGGTCCCAACTACTCCAGAGGCCGAGGTAGGAGGATCACTTGGGCCCTAGAGGTTGAAGCTGCAATAAGCCGTGGTCACGCCACTGCACTCCAGCCTGGGTGACAGAGCAAGACCCTGTCTCAAAAAAAAACAGTCTGGGTTCCCTGGAGCACCCCAGAGCTGGCTGTCCCCAGTCCTCGGGGAGTGGCCGATTGGGAGAAGAGAGGAAGGCGCAGGTGGGAGGGTGCCTGCCTCTGCCTTCCTCGGCTGCACTGCCTGACACCTGCAGAGGGCAGGAGAGCCAGGTGAGCCCGCTATGCCTCTCGCCCTTCTCTCCAGGCCCACCCTGTGGGGCTCACAAAGGAAGTTCACCTCTGACCTCACCTACTGTCCTGAGTTCCCTCTGGGCCTCTGCCCCACCTGGCTGTGGGCCGCAGTCCCGGGCCCCGAGGCCTGTTGTGTGTGGTCCCAGCCCAGCTTCTGGGTGGCATTCCTCTTAGGAGAAAGAGAGGGGTGTTCTGAACCTGTCTCCTGCGGGCACGACCTCCCCCATGCTCCCGAACCAGCCTCTGCTGTGGAGGGCAGGAGTGGGAGTGGGCAGGTGGAGGGATGGGGGAAGCTCCCTGGCAGGTGCCCAGCCCTGACTCCCATCACGGCCCTGCAGCTCTCCTCAGCCGGCTCGCAGCAGGGCCTCCTCGGGGTCCCGGCAACAACATTATGAGTTGAAGAAAGGAGCACAGCTCTCAGGGAAGCAGCACAGCTCTCAGGGAAGCTCTCAGGGAAGCTCTCAGGGAAGCTCTCAGGGAAGCAGGGAAGCATTCGACTGGAGTCCCCCAGTCCATATGCAGTGGGACACCCGGGCACGGGCTCCAGTGAGGACACGTGTGTCTTTGGCTGGCTCTTCCCTTCTGGGTATGCATCCTCAGGTGGGGCCTGGAGTCTCACTCCCTTGTCCCAGTGCCTTCCTGGCCCAGTGCCTGGTGTGGAGGGGCTGTCGGTGGCAGCTGGAGTTTCTGGAGCTTGGCAGGAAGGTGGCTGCACGTGTCTGAGATGGCCCTGCTCTCCTTCCTCCTGCCTGAGCCCTGAGTTCCTCTTGGCACAGGCTTGCTTCCTGGGCCTGGCACGAGGGCCCTCACTCATAGCACTTTCTTGTCACCACAGGAGCTGTGGGCTTGGTCCTGGGACACCCCTTTGACACTGTAAAGGTGAGTTTAGGAGAGGCACCAGAGGAGTGGAAGAGTTCACCCGACCCAAATGTCAGGATGCCCTGAGGTCAGGCCTGGCTAATCTTGCCCTTCCTGGCTCTCCTGCCAGCTGGCATTCCGCTTGAGAGGGCAGAGGGAAAAGCTGGCCTACCTGCCATCCCGCCACCCCACCTGCCCTGTCCTCCCCATCCAGGTTCGGCTGCAGACCCAGACCACGTACCGGGGCATCGCCGACTGCATGGTCAGGATTTACCGCCATGAGTCTGTGAGTGGCCCACTTCTTTGGGGTCCTTCCCCTTTGGGGGAGGCATCTGGGGCCATTGGTACCAGCTGCCCTCTCCTCTCCAGCATGGTTCTGCCCCAGGAGGAGAGAAGACCAAGTCTGGGACCCTTGGGGGGGCCAGGTGGTAGCTTGGCACCTCAACAGTGCAGCCTCAGCCTGTCCCCACCTGTCCCCACCTCCCTGTGGCAGGACTTGGGAGCAGTTTCGAGCCAAAGGTGGCCATGCCAGGGCTGGAGAGGACAAAGGGAAGGCCCCATGGTGCCTACTCCAGTGCCAATGTGTCTCTCTGCAGCTCCTGGGCTTCTTCAAGGGAATGAGCTTCCCCATCGCCAGCATAGCTGTGGTCAACTCTGTTCTCTTCGGGGTCTACAGCAACACCCTGCTGCTGCTCACGGCCACCTCCCACCAGGAGCGGCGGCTCCAGACGCCCAGCTATATGCACATCTTCCTAGCGGGCTGCACTGGGGGGTTCCTGCAGGTGAGAGGGCCGTGTATGGGCACAAAGGAGTCACAGGGATGGTCACCCACCCCGCTCTGGTGACCCACAGCTATAGAAGCACAGGCCTCCTGGAGGGGAACATGAGGACTGGGCTATAGCTTTCTAGGCTGCAGGCCTTGGCAAGAGGGCTGTGGGGAATGAAGGGGGCAAAAGGCAGAGAGAGCTGGGGGACAGTGCCAAGAGGGCACCTGGAGAAGCAGCCTATGCCATCACTCCAGCTGACAGGGCTTATTACCCTCCAGAGGGGTCTGCCAGCCTCAGAGCTGCGGGAAGCCCACTCCCCAAGGAGACCTTTGACCCTGGAGAACTGCCAGCCCCCCACAGAGCTGTGAGCCCAGCTCTTCTAGCTGGGTCCTGATGAGGTCCCGACACTCCCCCGGCGCCGCCCAGCTCTACCCTTTGCCTGCAGTGCTTGGGTGGCCACGACCTGGGAGCCTCACTTGAGGCCTGGCCCAGCGGAGCATTAACCATTAAGTCACTGCCATCATTTAGGCTTCCAGCTTTAGAGGGGTGGGTGGAGGGAAGAGGGACCTGCCAGTGCCAGCGGGAACCGGTGTGGAATGGAGCCTCTGAGCATAAACTGGCAGAGGGTGCACCCAACGCCCGCTCACACCCCAGCCTCAAGCCAGGGTTACCCTCTCCTGGGCGCCTGTGCCAGGGCCCCTGTCACACTTCATGGGGCAGAGAGCAAGGACAAAGTCAGGCTGCTCCTTCAAATGAATTAATGATTAATGAGACCCCCAGAGGCCCTGGCTTTTCTTCTGCCCCTTCTTGTTCTATGTGTCACCTACAGGTTTCCTGAGCCCTGAGAGCAACACCCCACAAATGCAAGGAAGAGAACTGAGACCCTCAGCTAAGTGGCCAGTCCCGGCTTCTAAGTCACCCTGCCCCTCCAGCTCTTTGGAAAGCAGAACTGGGGACTGTGAGGGCCACCAATGGAGCCTGGGTTTACAGTCAAACCTGTGGCTTCAGTTTCACAGAGTCTTAGAGCAAAAATGAGTTTTAGGCCGGGCGAAGTGATTCATGCCTGTAATCCCAGCACTTTGAGAAGCTGAGGTGGGCAGATCACCTGAGGTTGGGAGTTCGAGACCACCCTGACCAACATGGAGAAACCCCATCTCTGCTAAAAATACAAAAATCAGCCGGGTGTGGCAGGGTGTGCCTGTAATTCCAGCTACTTGAGAGGCTGAGGCAGGAGAATCGCTTGAACCCGGGAGGTGGAGGTTGTGGTGAACCGAGATGGTGCCATTGCACTCCAGCCTGGGAAACAAGAATGAAACTCTGCCTCAAAAAAAAAAAATGTATTTTAGTTTGGAGTGGGAGGAAGAGGCAGGGATTGACAGCCTCTGGCAGGCACAGACATTGCCCTGGCCTTGGCTGAAGCTGACCTCCTGAAATGCGGAAGTGGCATCTGACACTCCGCCATCCCTGTGGGGGCATCTGTCACTTGGCGTCGGCCCAGCCCTGTCCTCAGCCCCAGGAGCTCAGGGCTCAGAACACTTCCCAAAGCCCTGAGCTCAACCCTGCCAGCAGGCCCAGGAGGACACCAAGGACCCATCTCCCAAGGGATGATCCCCAACCTATGACCCTTCCTGCCAGTGCCAAAGTGAATAAGCGAAGACCTGGCCTGCCACACCCCAGGGACCACCACTGGAGGCGACTGACGGCCCCCATCGCAACCAGCCATCTCCAGGGCTGAAGAACTGAGCCCATGTACCTGTCACAAAACAAGCAAAAAACACATAAATCCCTCAGAGATAGGCTAGCCTTGGCGTAGACCCCAACTCTCACCTGGACTTAAAAGCCATCTTGACCTAGTGGCATCTCTGACCCAAACCTTAACCGCCTCCATCTCACTCTACACCCCCCTAGCACTGATGCTCACCAGCACCCCAGCCCCAGTTCCATATCAAATGTATGTGGCGTCTGCTGCTACTGATGTTAAGAGCTCTAGCACCCGGCAAGTCCCCCATCACCCACCTTCCCACACGCAGAAGCCTCTTTGGTGGGGCCTCTCCAGAGGTAAGAAGGGCTGGCCCCATGCCCCCCAGGCTCTGAGAGGTGAGTGCAGGAGGGAGAATCGATGGAGCTGGGTCCCGTCATCAGAACAACACTCACGAGGGGACCTCCTTCACCCTGGGAAGGGGTAGGTTCTTTCTGTCTCACAGTCACAGACGGAATCATTCACTCAGCCTGGCTCACAGTACAGGCATGCTCATTGCTGGCTTCAGGGAGGCCAGAAACCAACCTGCTTCTGCAAAAAGAATCCAGGCTGTTCTGAGCGCCTGCTGCAGGCCAGGCAAGTTGGTCACTGTTGCGTGAGGAGGAGTCGTGCCTGATGCCAAGTGAGATGGCCTGTCCCTGTCACACGCAGACGTCCTGGCCATCCCAGTCGCACATGCGTGAGAGAGGTTGGGCGCTGCCGGGGTTCCTGCGGGACTGGACCATGCTGCCTCTGCCTGTCTCCTTCCTCTTGTGAATTTACGGGACCAGTTCCCACCCCAAAGCCCCACCCAGGGCCTTCATGTTTCCTCCCCAACAGGCCTACTGCCTGGCTCCTTTCGACCTCATCAAAGTCCGGCTACAAAACCAGACAGAGCCAAGGGCCCAGCTGGGGAGCCCCCGACCCCGGTACCTGGGGCCGATGCACTGTGCAGCCTCCATCTTCCGGGAGGAGGGGCCCCGGGGGCTGTTCCGAGGAGCCTGGACCCTGACACTGAGGGACACTCCCACGGTGGGGATCTACTTCATCACCTATGAAGGGCTCTGCCACCAGTACACACCAGAAGGCCAGAATCCCAGTAAGCAAAGTGGCGTGAGAGGATGGGGGATGGGGTGTGGGTAGCAGGCAGGGTCCGGCGGAGGCTGGGGAAGGTTAGGGTCTGGGGAGGATGCTGTGTTCTGGTTCTGACCCCTGCTCTGGGCTCCCTCCGCTCCAGGCTCAGCCACCGTGCTGGTGGCAGGGGGCTTTGCAGGCATCGCCTCCTGGGTGGCAGCCACGCCCTTAGATGTGATCAAGTCCCGGATGCAGATGGATGGCCTGAGACGAAAAGTGTACCGGGGGGTGCTGGACTGCATGGTGAGCAGTGTCCGGCAGGAAGGACTGGGGGTCTTCTTCCGGGGGCTCACCATCAACAGTGCCCGTGCTTTTCCTGTCAATGCTGTCACCTTCCTCAGCTACGAGTATCTTCTCCGATGGTGGGGATGAGCCCTGCGGCAATGACAGCAGCTGCCCATCAGGCCCATGTCCCAGAGGCCAGTTTGAGATTGGAGGTCAGGAGGAAAGCCTACAGCTTGCAATTCAGTGCAAGAGGCTCAGCCCTTACGGATCCTCTGTGTAGTTGGCCTTGACTCCTTTGCCTCCCCTATCTGTGAAGCAGGGAGCACGAGGCACAAATGAGCTGGCAGTGGTGCTGGTGACATCCCAGCCCCTGTCCTGTGCCTTCACCCCTTAAGGAGCTCCGAGACTCCGCTTCTGAGAGGCCCTGCTGCCTCCCACCTCCCTGCCTTTCACGGCTCTCTTCCCTGAAACCCAGAATAACCCTATGTCTCCTCTAGGAGTCCTTCGGCGGCTCCCATCACTTTCAGGAAAAGCCCAAGCCCCTTCCTCCTTCCGGGTTCCTCCCTTACCACGAGGCTGGGGTTGCTTCCTGGACCCTGAATGAGCCGTGCTCTCATTGCCTGGGCCTGGCCAGCAGTGCACAGTGGCCGGCAAGGTGACTCCATCATCCCCGGGTCTGGCCCGGCTCTCCTACGAGACCCAGGCTGAGTTTGGCCTCCTGACCATTCCTTGACTCTCTTCCCGACCTGAGGCTGACTTTGGGGTTCGGACACCCCGCCCCACACGTGCCATGATCACAGCACTTGCCTGCACTTCTTCAGTCATTGATTTGCTTCTCGGCTTCCCCACTGGACTGTGAGCTCCATGAGGTCGGCGATTGCGCTTTGGTTGGTTTCTAGCCGGAGCCCAGTGCTTGAACAGACGTGTGCAATCCATGCTGATTAAATGATGCGACTGCACTCCTGACCTGTCTCTCCCACGCCAGCCGCCACACCTGCTTCCTTGGTCTTGCCACATACCTTTCTGCTGAACCTCCCAGCCCCCATGTGCCTGCTCTGACCTGTCTCGAAGTCACCGGCAATGGAGGGTGCTGGAAGCTGGGGGTCTGCTTTGCCCACTCCCAGCCAATGGCGCTTGTTTTCTTTTTCTTTCTTTACCTTTTTCTTTTTTTAGAGACAGAGTCTCACTCTGTTGCCTAGGCTGGAGTGCAGTGGTGCTACCAAAGCTCACTGTACCTTGAATTCCTGGGCTCAAGCGATCGTCCCACCCTGGTCTTCCAAGTAGCTGGGACTACAGGTGTGCACCACCGTGCCTGGCTAATTTTTTATTTTTTTGTAGAGAGAAGGTCTCACTATGTTGCCCAGGCTGTTTGAACTCCTGAGCTCAGAATCTTCCTACCTTGGCCTCCCAAAGAACTGGGGTTACAGGTGTGAGCACTGTTGTTTTCTTTAGTATCTCAGTTGCTCAGTGGGAATTAAAACCTGGTGATGCCGGGTGTGGTGGCTCACGCCTGTAATTCCAGCTCTTTGGGAGGCCCAGGTGGGTGGATCACAAGGTCAGGAGTTCAAGACCAGCCTGGCCAACATAGTGAAACCCTACCCTGTCTCTATTAAAAATATAAAAATTAGCCAGGCATGGTGGTGGGTGCCTGTAGTTCCAGCTCCTTGGGAGGCTGAGGCAGGAGAATTGCTGGAACCTGGAGGTGGAGGATGCAGTGGGCCTAGATTGGGCCACTGCACTCCAGCCTGGGCCACACAGTGAGACTCTGTCTCAAAAACAAAAACAAAATCCTGGTTGAGAGGGTTCTTTTAACTGACAACAAAACTGAGCATCATTGGCCATTTGTTCCCACTGATGTCCCTGTCTGGTCTGAGATCAACCTGAGTCCACCTCATGGTGACCTGAATTCCTGCCATTTCCTGGGGCCTCCCTGTAGAGACGGTCACAGTGTTATGATCACAGTTGCCAGAGAGGCAGCCTCAGCTCAGAGACTTTATGTAACTCGTCCTAGGTCACACTGCAGGTAAGTCATATGATTTGCTGGGATGCCTCTGAGCTTCCAGCCCCAGTGTCCAGTTACTTAGCTACCCTGCTCCACTGGGGCACATGGTGGCCTCCCATGAGTCACCTATGTTCAAATCCCCCTGTACCACCCTGGGCTAGACCTGCCAGGACATGCTCCGTCACGTGCTCATCAGAGCTCTCCTTCACTGGATCACATGCTGCAGATGGCTGGAGGCCACTGCAAATCCTTCTCCCCATTGCCCGTCATCAGAGTGTGCCGCTGGGTGTGTGGCCGCTGCCCAGGGCTACATTTCCCAGCCTCCTTTGCAGCCAGGCAGAGTCTAACCCTGGTTAGGTTCTCACTGGAGAAACACCAGCAACTGGGATGTGTTGCCCATCAGTTGCTTCAAAGGAAAAGCCTCCGTGTGGGCTGGAAGTGGCGGCGTCTGGGGCGCCCTGGAAGGCACTGAGAGGATGCTGGAGGTGCCCTGTTGGCCTGGCACCTGGGTGACCTTTGGGAGCACAGCCACCCCTCCACCCTGGGCTGTTGTGTTCTGTTGCACTCCTTGTCGCAATGGTTCATTATTTATTTATTTATTATTTTTTTGAGATGGAGTCTCGCTCCATCACCCAGGCTGGAGTGCAGTGGTGTGATCTCAGCTCACTGCAACCTCCACCTCCTGGGTTCAAACAATTCTCCTGCCTCAACCTCCCGAGTAGCTGGGACTATAGGTGAGTGCCACCATGCCCGGCTAATTTTTGTATTTTTAGTAGAGACAGGGTTTCACCATGTTGACCAGGCTGCTCTCCATCTCCTGACCTCGTGATCTGCCTGCCTTGGCCTCCCAAAGTGCTGGGATTACAGGTCTGAGCCACTGTGCCCGACTATTTATTTTTTGGAGACAGGGTCTCACTCTGTCTCCCAGGCTGGAGTGCAGTGATGCAATCTCAGCTCACTGCAATCTCCGTCCCCCGGGTTCAAGCAATTCCCATCTCAACATCCCATGTAGCTGGGATTACAGGTGCATGCCACCATGCCTGGCTAACTTTTGTATTTTTAGTAGAGACAGGGTTTCACCAGTTGGCCAGGGTGATCTTGAACTCCTGGCCTCATGTGATCCACCCACCTCAGCCTCCCAAAGTGCTAGGATTACAGTCTTGAGCCACTGCACCTGGCCTTTGTTGCAACAGTTTAGCAAGCTTCACACTAACTCAGTGGGTAAAGGGCTGCAAGCCTCCAGGTCAGTGGTAATCCAAGTGTGGTCGTGGAGCAAAGCTTATTAGATATGCAGCATCAGGCTGGGCGCAGTGGCTCAAGGATGGGTGCAGTGGCTCAAGCCTGTAATCCCAGCACTTTGGGAGACTGAGGCATGTGGATCACAAGGTCAAGAGATCGAGACCATCCTGGTCAACATGGTGAAACCTCGTCTCTACTAAAAATACAAAAAATTAGCTGGGCATGGTGGTGCGTGCCTGTAATCCCAGCTACTCAGGTGGCTGAGGCAGGAGAATTGCCTGAACCCAGGAGGCGGAGGTTGCAGTGAGCCGAGATCGCGCCATTGCACTGCAGCCTGGGTAACAAGAGCAAAACTTCATCTCAAAAAAAAAAAAAAAGAAAGAAAAAAAAGAAATGCAGCATCTGGCTGGGTGCAGTGGCTCACACCTGTAATCCCAGCACTTTGGGAGGCTGAGGCAGGAGGACCACTTGAGACTGAGTTCAAGACCAACCTAGGCAACATAGTGAGACCTTGTATCTACCAAAATTTAAAAATTAGTCAGGTGTGGTGGTGTGTGCCTGTAGTCAGAGCTACTTGGGAGACTGAGGTGGGAGGATTGTTTGAACCTGGGAGGTTGCGGCTGCAGTGAGTCTTGACTGTGCCACTGCACTCCAGCCTGGGTGATAGAGCAAGACTCTGTCTCAAGTAATTAATAATAATAATAGTAATTTTTAAAAAGATATGCAGCATCTCAGGCCCCACCCTGACCTGCCAAATCAGAATCTCTGAGGATGGGGCCCCGGAACCTGTGTTGTGAAAAGCTCTCCCAGGGATTTCTACCCGTGCTAAAGTTTAAGAATCCGTGTTCTGGGTGTGGCTGATGGGGGAATGTGCCACCCTTTCAGGCTGAGAAAAGCGTATGGTGGCTCACCTCAGGTCAGGAGTTTGACAGCAGCCTGGCCAATATGGTGAAACCCCTTCTTTACTAAAAATGCAAAAATTAGTCACACGTGGTGGCATGCACCTGTAATCCCAGCTACTAAGGAGGCCGAGGCAGGAGGATAGCTTGAACCTGGGCGGCAGAGGTTGCGGTGAGCCAAGATCACGCCACTGCACTCTAGCCTGGGTGACAGAGCGAGACTCTATCTCAAACAAAACAAAACAAAATCTGGATGTTTTAACCAGCAGGGTCTCATAGGATGCATGTGAAATTGCTTAAGGATTTAACAGATGGTATTTGAGGTTGCTGTTATTTTTGAGAACTCTTTTAGACAGAAGAAATCCCTAAGAACTAGGAGATAGTTTGAACCCGCTTTGAGGTTACAAAGCAGGTAAGGTCTGACGGTCGCTTGCAAAGAGCTGATAACTGGAGCAAACATGTTGAACGAGTGCCACTGAACTCTTGTCGTCCAGCCGTCATGCTGCTTTTTATAGCACTGACCACATCTGAAGGAATTCCAGGAGACTAACTTATGTGTATAGTGACACTCGCTGTGGCTTTCCCCGCTGCACTCCAGCCTGGAGAAAGCTACATGAGCAGGGAAAGGGGGAAACGGCTCAACATAAGATGACGCTGGCTAAAATAACTTGTACCAGACTCAGGAAACAGCTGAGCCAAGGGGGTTCACGCCATGAATGTGACTTAACTGCTGTCTCCAGCCTGCTCAGGCTCCTGAGTGCCAGGCCCACACTGCTGTCTCTGGTCACGGATCTTCCAGTTTCCCCAGCCTGCCCAGGGAACAGGCATGCCCTCAGCTCCCACCCCAGGCCAATGCCTGAGAGAAGCTCTCCCTCTTCCTCCTTCCCATGCCAAAGGAGTCCCTAACTCCTCTTAACCTTTTGAAACGTTTCTACTCCTCTCCCTTTTTTTAGAGATGGGATCTCAGGCTGGGCGAGGTGGCTCATGCCTGTAATCCCAGCCCTTTGGGAGGCTGAGGCGGGAGGATCACTTGAGGACAGGAGTTTGAGACCAGCCTGGGCAACATGGAGAAACCCCGTCTCTACTAAAAACAAAACAAAACAAAAAACAAAATTACCTGGGCATGGTGGTTCACGCCTGGCATCCCAGCTACTCCGGAGGCTAAGGCAGGAGAATCGCTTGAACATGGACACAGGTTGCAGTGGGCCGAGATGGCGCCACTGCACTCCAGCCTGGGCAACAAGAGCAAAACTCCGTCTTAAAGGAAAAAAAAAAAAGAGATGGGGTCTCACTATGCTGCCCAGGCTGGTCTTGAATTCCTGGGCTCAAGTGAATCTCCTGTCTCAGCCTCCAAAAGTGCTGGGGTTACAGGCATGAGCCACCATGTCTGGCCTCCACTCCCTCTTTACCAATCCTAATAGCACAGCCCTGGTTCTGTCTCAGATCTGAACATATACTTTAACTTTTGGCGGTAAAGTTCTTCCCCAAGTCTCCCTCTCCTCAATGGCTTCCCATTCCTCTGCAGAACCAGGGCAAGCTCCCTCCCACAGCCTGCATGGCTTCCAAGTGTTCACCTTCTTTTGGTTCCTTAAGCACAGCGGGCTCCCTCCCACCACAAGACATTAGCACATACCCTTCTTCCTCTTCCTCCTCCTCCTCTTCCTGCTCTTCCTCCTCCTCCTTTTCTTCTTCTTCCTCTTCCTCTTTTTCCTCTTCTCCCTCTTCTCTTCTTCTTCTTCTTTCGAGAGTCTTGCTTTGTTGCCCAGGCTGCAGTGCGGTGGCCTGAGCACGACTCACTACAGCCTCGACCTCCCAGGCT